CTAAAAATTGCCACAAAAACTTCAAAGTTCATTCAATGTCCGCCTTTGGCAGGGCCGGGGCAATCCATCTTCTCATCGAGCTCTTGACAAAGCGACCATGCCGAAAGCCACACATCTCGTCGAGCGAACTCTCGACAAAGCGACTCGCACGAAAGCGCACACAGCCCACACTTTGAAGTCGCATGTTTTCTGCACGGGCGTCGACGGAGGACGGCCCGGAGGCATCCCGGGCGGCGCTCGAGGAGGCATCCCCGGCGGCGCCGTCGGCGGCGGCCCTCGGCCCAGCGGCGGCGCGCGCGGCGCGAGCCCAGCCGGCGGCGGGGGCCCAGCAACGGGCGGCGGCGCGCGTGGAGCGAGCCCAGGCGGCGGCGGCCGCGGCGGAGCCCCCGCGGGTACTCGCGGCGCGCCGGGCGCCGCCGGCCCCGGAATCGTCGCCGAGGGCGGCGGCCGCGGCGGCGCCGAGCCCGGGTTCGGTGGAAGTCCTCGAGGCGCGGACGGCGGCGCCCCGAGCGGCGCCCGCGGCGGCGGAGGCGCGCTCTGCGGCGGCGCCCCGAGCGGCGCCCGCGGCGGCGCAGGCGCGCCCTGCGGCGGCGCGGCGCGAGGAGGCAAGAGGCCGCTCTGGGGCTGCGGCGGCGCGGGCGAACCCGGAGCACTCGACACGGGCGGTCCCGGCGGCCTTGGTGGAAGCAGGCCCCGCGGCGGTGCTCCGGCCGGCGGCGGCGGCGTGCCCCGCGGAGGAAGCAGGCCGCGCGGCGGCGCTCCGGGCGGCGGGCGCGGCGGCGCTCCGGGCGGCGGCATGGGCGGACGAGGCGGTGGGGCACCCATCGAAGGCGGCGGCGGCGCTAATGGTGTGGGCGGCGCCGACGATGGGGGCGGTGGCGCTGCTGCGACCGGCGGCGGCGGCGCGGGCGGCGGCGGCGCGGACATGGCTCTGTCTCAAGGGCTCGACGACGCGCGCAGCACAGCCACACTGTTACAGATGGGTGGCGCGCTAGGGCGCTGCGTTTCTTTCGTCAACACCGGCGTCAACATCTTGTACGTTACCGTTGAACCTCGATCGACCAGCTCGAGCTGGCCGCCACAATCGCGCCGATGAAGGCCTTCCCGCTCGCTTTTTGCATTGCCACCTGCGCCACGGCTTTGCCGCCGCTGCGCGCGCGACGCAAGGTCGAAACTGCGCGGCGCGCCGCCGGAGTCGCCGGCGGCGGCGCCGCACCGGCGCCGCTGCGGGGCTACGCGTCGCTCGCCGTCGCCGGCGGCGCCGCGCCGGCGCCGCTGCGCGGCTACGCGTCGCTCGCCGGCGGCATGCTCGTGCACCTCGTCCTGGGCACGCTCTACTGCTGGGGCAACTTCGTCAGCTACGTGCCGCCGGCGATGCGGCGCCTCGACGGCGCCGCCGCGGCGCCCGGGTCGCCCGGCGACGCGCTCATCGCGTTCCCGCTGACGATTTTAGTGCAGTGCGGCACCATGCCCTTCGGCGCCCGCGCCGTCGAGCGCTTCGGCCCGCGCGCGGCGACGCTCGGCGGCGGCGGCCTCGTGGCGCTCGGCGTCTTCCTCGCGTCGTTTGCGACGACGCTCCGCGCGTTCCTCGCGTGCTACAGCGGCCTCGTCGGCGCGGGCATCGCCCTGGCCTACACGGCGCCCCTCGTCGCGGGCTGGTCCTGGTTCCCGGACGCGCGGGGCTTCGTCAACGGCGCCGTGCTCATGGGCTTCGGCGCCGGCGGCTTCTTCTTCAATCTGTTGGGGACGCGGCTCGCGAACCCCGGCGGCGTCCCGGCCTCCGGCGGCGCCTTCCCGGACGAGGTCTACGCGAACTTCCCCGTCATGCTGCGGAAGCTCGCCCTGGTCTACGGCGCCGTCGTCGCCGTCGGCGGGTCGCTCGTCGCGCCGCGGCCCGCGGCGGCGGCCGCGGCGGCGGCCGCGGACCGGACGCCCGCGCGGGCCATCGTGCTGAGCCGCAACTTCGGCGTGCTCTACGCGGCGACCGTGCTCTGCGCGTCCGCGGGGCTCACGTCCGCGTCGGTCTACAAGGTCTTCGCGACGACCGCGGGGCACGGCGACGGCTTCCTGTCCGGCGTCGGCGCGGTCGGCGCGCTCTGCAACGGCCTCGGCCGCCTCGCCTGGGGCGCCCTCGTCGACGCCCGCGGCTTCCGGGGGCCCTTCCTCGCCATGCTCCTGGCCCAGGCCGCCGTCACGGCCGCCGCGCCCGCGGCCGCGGCCGCGGGGCCCCGGGCCTTCCTCGCGACGGTCGCCGCGGCCTTCTTCTGCCTCGGCGGCATCTTCTCCATGGTCCCCTCGGCCGTGGGGCTCCTCTTCGGCCGGGGCGACGCCGCGCGGGCCTACGCGCTCCTCTTCAACGCGTTCGCCGTCGCGTCGCTCGGCGGCGTCTCCGCCGCGAAGGCGCTCATCCCGAGGCTCGGCTGGCCCGCGCTCTACCACGCCCTCGCCGCCGCGACCCTCGCCGCCGCGGGGCTGACGCTCCTGCG